TCAGTAATTACTGATCTTCATATCAGCATTGATTTCATCGTGGTTCGGCCGTTTGCAGCAGATTGACAGTCATGATAGGGGTCAGGTTAAGGAATCTGATTCATTTGCTCATTTACAGTTGTTAACTCCACATGACAACAATATTTGACATGGAGCGTTTATATTTTTGTTCAGTGTATGTTCATCAATATTAAGAAACTATTTATTTAAAACAAGCTCGTTTGTCTTACTGAAAAGTTACTTGTAAGTTACTTTTGTTTTGTTTATCATGTACTAAGATATTTGCATTAGGAACTACACCAAAATACTTGGTAAGATTTTCTGCTTTTATAGTTTTTATAGTAAATCATATTAAAGCCAGGAAACATGGCTGACAGAAGAGGACCTGTCATTTTTAGAAGAATTAAATTTGTCTGTATCTTTAATGTAAATCATCACACCAGTTAAAATTTTACTTTAGTATTTTTTTAGATATGATTTTAATTAATGCTTTAACCAGAATTTTCATTTAAGTGACAAATTCATTTAGTTTTAATTTATTTAATGTAATTTTGAGCCATTAATGTCATCAATGATGAAAGTTAAAGCTTTACGTTTTATTGAAATGGTGAATGGTTAAAATCTTTGTGTGCAGATTACTGCCTGCTGTGGTAGAGATGATGTACCAACAGTTTATTTCCTATGTGAATACAATTTCTTATACATATTTAAATGCTGCATAAACCAGTAGCAATTACATTTAAATGGATGAATGTGAATTTTACATTTATCTGATGTCATTAGAGCCGTTTAAGTTTATATACTTTAAATCAAGTTCATTTTTCAGCTTTTAAAGTCTTTTTTTGTGACTCTTCATCAAACTATAGTTTGAGTTTCTTTAGAACGATGAGTTGGTAAAGTTCCACTGTATCCACTTGACAATGCGCTGTGGTTCAGTTCAGTGTCCGTCCTGTGATTGGTGGCTTCCTGTCCAACAGGAAGTTATGAACAGAGTTTAAAAGCTGCTGCAGGACAGCAGACATTCACAGGAAGCTGGACCAGCAATGGCTCTGCTGAAGGTTCTGCTGCTGCTGGGGCTGGGTGAGTCAGACACACTGGACACACTGGACACACTGGAGACACTGGAGACACTGGACACATGTCCATTCACTCTGAATGCTATGAATTATGTTGATCTGTTTTATTTTATCCTTTTCATTATAAGCTGACATGTTGGTTCCTTATTTCTACTGTGTGAATTTAATTTGCTAAAACAGCAACTTTCTTCTCCAGGTGTTGCAGTGAGTTCAGTGTCTTTGCAGAAGAGAGTCATAGGAGGTAAAAAGTGTAGAGATGATGAGCGACAGTATCATGTGAAGATCACTGGACAAAGTCAAACAGAGAACTATTTTTGTGGAGGATCTCTGATCAGTGATCAGTGGGTTCTGACTGCAGCTCACTGCTGGGAGTCAGATCCAGGATGGTGAGTCAGGAAACGATCTACTGAAAAATCACCAATAACTATTTGTTTCTCTAATAATTGTGTTTTATTTGCATAGGGTTATTAAGGCACATCTAGGAGTTCATCCTAAAGGTACTCCAGTGGTGACTTACACAATCACTCGACATGAAATTTACAGAGACATCAACGGTCGTGAACATGACATCATGCTCCTGAAGCTGCCAAGACAAACAACAATCCAACCAATCAGACTAGCCACCTGTCCAGATACTCTCCTACTGTAAGTTTTGTCTTTCTTAAATCGGACAATTTTCTTCTTGATCTTTAACAAGAAGCAAAGTTCATGCAGGAATATTTTTCAGATCTGGTCTCTGAGGGTCGGATTATTTTTTGAAGGTGACTTATATTTCTGCTTTTGTTTCTCGTGTGTTTCAGCGGCACTAAGGTTCAGATTGCAGGTTATGGAGCCGCAAAAGCTGGATTTTTTTTCAAAAAAAGAAGTAAGTTTATGTTTTTGTTGTTACCTCAAAATGACAAATTATGTAAATCAGCTTTCAAGCTCTCTGCTGAAGCTGCAGTAAGCAGAGTTTCTGAAAAGTCAGGTCATAATACATAATCTGAAATAAACTAGTTAATAATTACAAACAATAAGGTAAAACCCTGAACAAAATGTTCTGACACCGAGACAGGCCTAACATTTGTTTCTTCTTCTTTTCATTTAAAGTTCCCCATACTCCAGATGAACTTCAGTGTGCAGAACTTGAGGTTGAAAAACATGAGAAAATGGAAAAGGCTTTGGTAAAACTTAAAGTCTATAGTCGCAGTTACCAGCACTGGAACTGTGCTAAAAGCTCCGGGAAGGACACATCTGGGGTTAGTTTTCTATTTTGAGCTGATAAACCTGACGCTGTCTCTAATTTACTGGATAAATCACAGCAGCAAAACAACTAAAAGCTTTGTGTTTGTCACAGGGCGACTCTGGAGGAGGATGGGTGTTCAACAACAGGCTGTATGGCGTTCATGCCTTCACTGGAGATCCAAAGTATGCCTGCAGTAAACCAACTGGTTTCATGGACGTCTGTGCGTACATTGGGTGGATAAGACAAATAATTTATGGTCGAAACAATGGGTAAATGAAACAACTTGGACGTAAAATCCAGTGTGTCTGACATGTAGCTAAATGTTCACAGTGTCATAAAATCACAAAGTTCAAGTTAACCTTGAAATTTCAGTTTTCAGTTGATTCATTTTCTGATTTACAGATGAATTATTTGGGGAGTAAATTATTGTATTCAAGTTAATCTGTGATAAAATCTAATTTATGAATAAGTAAAGCTGCTGTTTGTAATAATCAGTACATAATATCCACTGTCACATGACTAGAAAATAAATGGCTGTTATCTGATCAGATTGTCTCTTGTGCTTATTTCTGGTTATTAGTGAAGAAAATAATGGAAACATTTGTAGTTTCAGGTTGAGAAATGTTATTTAATGATCTATTCACTTCTGCCTTGTTGCTTTAAACAGCTGCTGTTAAACTCATCATTAAAGAGACCAAGACTAAAAATACAGATAAAGGAAACAGACTATACAGAAAACTAGAGGTGGTTCTTTCCAGTTCAGAAGAAGCATTTAAAAAATTGTCATATGTTTAGGCTAAACAACATTAATTAAAGGAGGAGGTGTTCATACACCACTCCACTGCAGGCCTTATATGGACTTCCTTTCCACATCATATTCAAAGTCATTTTATCATTTTTTTCAATTTTATTCATTATTCAATGTTTAACTAGTGTATCTACTTCACTGACTCAGTTGCTTCGGATGCAGATGTGGGTTTTCTTCCGCTGGGTTTTTGACAATTAGTTAAATGTTTAACTAGATGTCAAAATCTGACATTGTTTTGCATTTATTTTATTTTTTTTTCTTCGAAACCTCTCTGTGGCTGATCAGTCTCTGTCAACATTCCTTGATGTTACTGTCGTTGCATCAGAACTTTTCATTTTGATGACACATTCACTGACATAAAGAGCTGCCTTAGAGAAACAAGAAATTTATTGTGAATTGTCTTGAATCACAATTACTACTAGATGTTCAATTTGTATTAAATGTTTTAGGAAATGCTCCAGTTATTGTGCAAACGTGAAAAATGAACCAAAAGATCTGAGAGAAACTGGAAAACTAAAAATCTGAAGTCTGAAGAACTTCTTCACATTGAGTTACAGATTATTGTATTTTAAAAGATTTTTTTTTCAACTCTTCCTTAAAACATGTCGAGTTTCAGATTACTAGAAAAATGACATTTGATTCCCTTAAAATGAACCTTAAATGGTAGAAAAACGAAGCAGAAATGTGAGCAGCCAGCAGCCAGTAAGCAGTTTGGATTTATTTATTTTCAATTTATAGAGCAGCGGATACTTTGATGCTGATAAAATGGAGAATAATCAGAGACATGAAGACTGGGGAACACTTGTTGGTTGATGAGTGGCAGGTATTCACAAACATCCATCACCCCAGCTGGAGCGCGGCATGCAAGGGGTGGATTGTCAGTGAATGAAATGACTCCATAAAGCAAGTTGTTGTGCACCACTCCTCCTCCAGAGTTGCCCTGTGGGAAGCAGACATCGTTCTGAATATGCTGGTTTGATGACAGGATCAGTGCTGAATGTCTGGTGAAGATGTTGGACCTACATGACGGACGTCTCTGATTGGCGCTCAGACCAGGAAGACGTTTCCGTTTTCAGCGTGTCTTTGGAAGCCGACGACATTCATGTTGATGCACTGAAGACGGAGAGCCACGGGCGCTGGGACGACAATCATTTCATCATATTCACACAACTTCCTTCCTGAAGGTGGCCCCAGGCACATGCAAGTTAAGCGACTGACTGGCAGTAGAACGATCTAGCTAACTAAATGAAACCTGGATATGTGGCTCCTATTGATTTAGGGAAAATAAGGCAGAAAACATCTTAAAACAACTCAGATTCTTTTTTCTCGCTCTCTCTGTTGGTCACGCTACACACAGACTTGTTGTAATAGCAACTGACTGTCAACAATACCAGTAAATTACTAAGATTCAACTCCAAAAACACTCAAACATTTCCCACACAAAGAACAGAATATTCAGTTCATTAAAGTTTTATATTTTTAGACCTGATGTTAATTTTATGATTATTGATAAGTGATTGTTGTGGTTGATCAGCTTTACAGCAGTAGCTAAATGTAACAGCAGTGGTAGATTAGCTTAGATTAGCTCATTTAATGACTGCTCACAGTGATGTGTTGATTTAAAATGTTGATTCATCTTCCTGGTAGATTTCCATCTCAGTTTGGAAACACTTTCACGTTTATCTCTCAGGTTTTTATTTTTGGTTCCTCTTTCTAATCCTGACTGGGAAAATAAAAATATTTTAATCTGCATGACTGAGAGAAAGAGTCAATGTGGCAAATCCTTGCAACATCTGGACGCCGGCTTTGCTAAAACAGGGAGAGGATGCATGTGAAACCTGCAGTTTGTGACCCAAAATGGACATTTTCTAAATCGATTGAGTTGAACTTTCCTTTAAAGTTTATAAAACTTTTCATTACTGAGTTTTGGTCACAGAGGTCAGATGAGCTGATTTTCTCAGCAGCAGATTGAAGGAGCTTCATGGATCTTTAATTAAAATGTTGAGCAATTTTCCTGTGGATACAGCCATTAGTGATCAGGTACATAATTTCTTTATTAATCTCTGGTTGGTGTCCTGCAGGCAGAACATGGCAACAATGGAAATCAAAGTTTATGTCTAGAACATATTTAAAACAAAACTCTACACAAGACATAAATCATAAATAAAAACACTAAAATTAGAACATAAAACAATGAAACACTGTGAAATAAGGATCAAAATACATGAAGATAGTCAGATATTCTGCACAGTAAAAGCTCAAATATGTTGAAGCAGAAAAGCCCAGGTTGAAGCACAGCTTTGACCTCTGACCCCTGAGGGAGCTCAAGCGGTTCTATCAAAGCTGACAGACAGGAGTAAACAGTTTACTGGTTTTATTTTGTTATGACTTTTTGACTAATTCAGTTTTAATTAGTTTTTGCTTGTTCTTATTATTGCTCAGCGGCCCTATATGCTGGGGCAAAAGGGGACAGTGGCCCCTCAAATAAACATCTTACCCCCTCAAATGAAACTCTGTCACAATCCGGGTTCTTCCCCCGTGTTACATTCATACAATAAGTTTATTAAACGCAGTATTGGGTATAGAAACTGGGTATCTGTGCGTAGTGACGCCTGTGATTACAATGTGTCGGACTCCACGTGTTTGAACGTCAATCTGCATTTGCAAAGAAGTGCCAGGCTCACCGGTTAGGGAAGGAAGGGGGCTTCAAATGATGAATTTAAAACAGGAGTCACGCGTGCATAATCACCTCCTCTGTGTTTCCCACGGCGATCCTCCGCATCATCAAAGGCGAACATCAAACAATAGCGGCGCGGCAGCACGAGACAGTGGGTGCAAATGGCACGCGTGCACCCCAGTGACAAGGAGGCGCGAATGTAAAACCCGCATTTACAACCTGCGTGCGGAAACGCAAAAGGCGTGAAAGGAGACGCGTCGGCACTCGCCGGAGGTTCGCGGACAGATAGAAGTGAAAAGATGAAACACTCTGAAGAACCAAAGGAAAAAAGAAAAAGTCAGGCTTCTGTTGCATATTCAGACATGAGCTGCAAATATGGCCGTGAAGTGGAAGTGGAACTATTGTGTTTTTTCAAATGATTTAACAAGTTATTTAGAAAGTGTACCCACTTCTGATTTGCCAAAATGAAATCCGGGACTTCTATTCACTTTCAGAAGTAAAATAAAAAAGAAGACATACAAATAATGATTTGATTTGCAGTTTTTAGCCATAGTGAGACATGGTAGTGGCATCAAAGTGCTGAGGGATTCTTTTCTTTAGCAGGAGCTGAGAAGCTGGTAGAGCATTAATGGATTAAGTAAATAAATATTTTTTGGGGAAAATTCAGTTAGAAGTTACAAAGGATAGGACATTTTCATGCAACAGAAAAACAGCCTTAAGCATACAAAAATAGATGAAAGCATATTCATGTGTTTAAATGTCCTAGTGAAAGTTCAATAGGGAGGAGTTTTTGTTGTTTGCAATTTTAGTCTCTAAATGTAAAAGGGTTGATTAAGAATGAGAGGAGGACTGGAAATGCAAGCCACACTTTTCAGATATCTGCTTAAAAATTGAAACTACATATATTTTCACTTCATCTCTGTGAAATTTTTTGTTGATCCGCAACACAAAATTCCAATAAAATGTGTTTAATTTTGAGGTTGCACCAATGCTACGCTGGTGTTAAAGTGTTGTAAACCCATTAATAAATACACCATTCATATATAGAATAATTTACAAAAATAATTTCAAATTTAAAGTCACTCTTAATGTGCGATAGTTTACAACACTTTCAAACCCACTGATGAAAATGAAGTGAGTTTTTTTTCTTCTGTTGCTGAAGCCATAAAGAAAACTGCTGGAATATCCAAACCTGAAGTTGTTTGTCACAAAGTGTCAGAATTAGAATGATGCTTATTTTTTATTTATAACTGATTGCAAAATTGAAAAGCAGATGCATATTTAACATTTTTAGCTTTGATCTAATGAAGAAATGGTCTTTAAAAGATGTTTCAGGTACACAAATTCTTGAAGTTGGACCAACCATGATTAAATTTAAAAAAAATGAAACAAAATGGGTTTCTGCACAAGTCAACTCTCAACTTGCTTCATAATTGCTAAATGCTGATGTCTTACAAAATAATCAAGCAGAAGAACATTATGATGTTCAAATCATATATGTATGTTTTTTTTCTATCACACTTTATTGTCATGATGCAAAATGCTTTTGTTCAGACTGAAGAGCACAAATAATTTGCAAAGTGGGAAGAATTGAAAACCTGAGAGTGTATTTCTTGCATTTCACTTTTTTTTTCAATTATTGCGTTACACTATTCTTTTTCAATTATTCTGTCATGTTTTCATATTTTTATCTGTGCTCTTGTGTTTTGTGGTAAAAAGTTTAGAAAAGTGGACTTTAATCTGCAGGATTTGCTTCCTTTTATCATAAAAACAAGACATTGTGAGGAACTGGAATGTGACTTGACTGATGAGCAGTTGGTGGGTGTGGGGCTGAGGGTGGGTCCGGGGGCTGTGAAGGTCTGCAGGGGCTGGAGGAAGGAGGGACCTGAAAGGGAGGGAGGGACCTGCTGGGAGGAGGTAAAAGCATAAGCAAGAGGCCCGAGGCTCACTACCTGATCAGTCACAGACTGGGAAGGAAGCAGCTTTTCCTGGATGAGAACAGAACTTTGGGAAGTCCAGGATAATGAAGCTGCTGCAAGAAACTGACGATGCAACAAGGAAGAGAAAGGTACTACTGAGAATGCTTGCAACTTATGCAGCAATACTAACATTTTTGGTTTTATTTGCAGAGAACTAAATGTAAGAATGTTTAAATGAGATCCCCAAACTTTGGTCAATCCTCTTCTCGCTTCCAGCTGATGAAATCTCAGGTGGAGAAACGTCGAAGGGAGAGAATGAATCACAGTCTGGAGCGTCTGAGGACCATGCTGCTGCAGGAGCCTCAACAAGTAAATACAATTTAAAGTGGAAACATGTTTAGTTTCTGTATGCAACACAAGAAAGATCTGCAGTGCTTGTTGTTAAATCTATTTAACTGCCATTGCTGCAGGGAGGGATGCAGCAGAAGGCAGAGAAAGCTGAGATTCTGGAGCACACTGTTCTCTTCCTGCAAAGAAACGCCAAAGAACTCAGGGAAAAGATGGGAGGCCAGAAATACTCCTTCCAGGACGGGTTCTCCAGCTGCCTGCAGAGGGCGTCGCAGTTCCTGGGTCCTGAAGGGAAAGGCCTCTGGCTCGGACCGGTCCTGGACGCCACCTTCTCTGCCCGCTTCCCACGCTCACACAGCCACTCTGCAGCCGCCCGCATCAAAACCTCCATCTCCATGACCCACACCAAGTCCCTGCTCCAGATGCTGAGGCTGAGGTCCAAGTCCAGTCAGCAGACGCAGGCCTCAGGGGCGAGCACCTCGGCTTGGCCGCGCAGATTCTCAGCCCAACAGAGCTTCCCCATGATTCCCCAGCAGCCTCAGATGCAAAGTGGGCTGGAGATGGGAGCGGAGAGGCCGGGGAGCAAAGAGAGCTCGTCCCAGAGCGGGACCCTCAGCCAGACTTTATGGAGACCATGGCCCTGATCATCACAACCCCCAAAACCCCAGAACTCTCAATAACCACCCACCCCTCCATTAAAACTGCTTCTGTTTTCATTCTACTCTCAAAAAATATCCTAACTCTCATCTCTCTCTAAGCTTTCACCTGTAAATAATGTAAAAGAAACCTCATGATTTGTAGCTGTAGTATTTTTGATAAGGTTGACTCCCTCCAGTAGCTCAGAAAGTGTGGCGGCCGTGTTATCTGCTGGCAGGCACGCAGGGATTTTCGTGGACCAGGACCGGATCTGGATCCTCTGGGTTGGCTGGCTGGCACCGCTGCTGTGCTGAAGAGCGACTGGAGAGGTGAGTATCCCTGACATCCGTCTTCCCCGTGCCTTTAACTCCCAGACCTGTGTGATTAGAGTCAGTGATGCTAGTGTGAATAATGATCGAGTCTCCGTCCGTCACATTTCCAGGTGTGGAACCTGGAGGTTTGAGTTTGGGAGAGAGCCCTCAGTTTTTCCATCTCAGTGCCGTCATATCTGCAACATCTGTGGCTCTGAGTACAAAATAACACACACACCGTCCCACAGATATTCACGTTTATCTTGTCTGTTTTGCACAATAATTTATTCTGCTGTTCTCCCTATGGTGAGCATTATTCTGTTTTTTTTATATATATAGAAACCAATAAAACATTTGTTAAAATGTAAAAAGACATGTTAAGTGATTTTTTCCCCTCTGACATGGAGGCCTTTTGTCTTCAGTGGTAGTTCTCTTTAGCAGGTGTGAAGCAGGACTTCCTGTTCAGCTAAAACATCCAGGTGTGAAGTCTCTGTGCGATAAAAGCTCAGGAGAAGCGATAAAGAATGACAAAAATGTTACAATATATGGAGTCAAATAGAAAAACAAGTTAATATTTTCTTGTGACGAATCACTGTAGAAATAAATCCATCTCAGTTTGTAGACGAGGCCGTTCAATTTTAACATTTCTAATGGATTAGTGTCAATGGTAAAGGCGTATAACATCAAAAATAGAATTATTAGTTGATTTCGATTGATTTATAAAACCTCAGTTCACAATAAAAGCCATAACTGGAGGAAAAGCTAGTTCTACAAAGTGTTACCTCACAGACGCTGAACTCAAATGCACCCCACACTTTTCAGATTTATATAAATAAAAAGTGTAAAGAAAACCAAGTAGTAGTAAACTGTAAAAAAAAAAAAAAATGTTTGTCTCCTTACAAATTTGTCAGTTTTTTTTCATAGATGATCAAATAATCTGAAAATCAGACCAAAATAACTTCAATAAATCCAGGACACAGTTTCCAAATGATTTTTTTGTTCACTAGGGAACAAATTCTGTCTGAATCAAACTAACTGTTAAATTAAATGCACTTATCTCTTAAACTCCACAAAATAATGAATTTTTAAGTAGAATGAAAGTTTAAAAGTTTCCCATTTTTTAGCATATTTCTAAATTGAATCATCATTCATTTAACTCAGTTTTCTTTCAACTGAGAAAAGTTGACTTTTCTCAGTTTTGAGGCGACTTTTGTTTGTAGTTAAAGAACTAAAAATATATTTCAATGAATGGGAAACAATGTTTGTGTCTGCATGATTTATAGTTTCTAAGTCACTGAATGGCCTTGTACCAAAACATTTTAAAGACCTGTTTTGCTCCAACGTCTGGTTCCATTCTGCTGTGTCTCCTGAACAAACCAGAACCAAACATGGAGAAGCAGCTTTAATTTTTATCCTCCTCTAATCTAGAACAAACTTACAGAAAACTGGAAAACAGCTGAAACACTGAGTTCCTTTTCAATCAAGACAAAACCCTCTTTTGCTCAGAATTGCCTTTGATTAATAATATGAAGTGTAGCTGTTTGTTTGTTTGTTTGTTGTTTTATTTTCCTTGTAATCTTGAAAAGAACTTTGAATTGTTCTGTTGGTGAAAATGTGTTAAATGACCTTTCCTTTTCTTGTCTTAAAATGACTTTGTAGGTCTTCCCAAACTGTTAGATTTTATTGATTTTGTTTCTCATCTGTTCTTGGATTTCTTTGGATCAGGATCTGATGTTTTGCCTTTTCCCTATTTCATATTGTCAGACAGGTTCTTGATCTCTATATAGATCTACTCAAGTTATCTTTCTCTGATTTTTTTTATATGAATCAAAACATTTAAGAGTGACAACAAAACTAAATTGGGATTTTTTTATTGTACTTTCTATTGTACGCTTATTCTGTAAAACTTTTGTCTTTCTTTCTCTTGCGATTACTTTTTTAAATTGCAAAGTTAAGTTTTGATCTCTGAAACGGGCATCCTGTAAGGTACAAATGCTAAGCCTGCTTATAATTATCCTCATAGTTATACTCATAGTTAATAAACAACTTAAACCCAAACAGCTTTTGTTTCATTTATTCAGAAACAAAGAACAGCTTCTATGTAGCAAAACTGGTTAGGCTCTGTTTTCACATTTAGATCAAACATGTTGGTGAGCAGGAGAAAGGAGCACATTTCAGCACAAGGAGCTGTAAAAAGTAAGGGTGCCCCGATTTATCTGGCAGCCAATTTATCTATTTCCTTAATTTTGGAGGATCAGTGATTGGTTGATCTTATCCCCGATCTTATCTACTTCACCAAAGGAATAAAAAACAGGCCACTGCCCTCTTCTGCTCTGCAGTGAGAGGTTGGACTGATAGATCCGCTCACCAGCTCATGTCTGCACCTTTACAAAAGTCACCCCACTGTTGCCAACTCAGCCACTTTCTAGCTCTAGGTAGTGACGGTTCAGACAAAAAAAAAAAAAAATGTATCAGCCAAAATCGCAACCAGCAGGTCAAGTTTTTTAAATTTTGTAATCAGCGACTGGCCAGAAAACTGCAATCACTGGACCCCTAGTAAAATGAGTATAAAGTGTTGGAGTCAAGCTATTTGAAAGTTCAAACTCCATCCTTTTATTCTCCATTAAAATTAATTAAAATGCTAAATTGTAATTTATAACATCATGTCCCAGAACTCCAGATGTGTTTAAATAATGACCAACCACTCACATCCTGATGAAACCGTTCAATGTTCTTTAAAATATTACAGATGGGAATATAGAATATAGGATACTCTGAAGATATGATTTTTTTTCTTTAACAGTTGTTTCTGTTTGAAATCATTTCAAAGCATAAATCTTTTTCTTATATTTATACTTTGTAGATTTTTATTCATGGAGTAAAATAACAGGACCTGTGCATCACTTTGCTCCCACTTGACAATTGTTCTTTGCTTGGTGATGAACTATGTCAAACCAATATTAATAGAATATGAATATTAGTGATAAGGTTCAGGGAGTGAGAATACTTTTTTAAGACAATATATAAAATAAATGTTATACACTTTAATACATTTTCACAAACATTTAGCTTCCAAACCAACCTGCTGGGTCTCGGTCTAATTAAAGTCAGCAAATATATTTTCAGATGTATTGTCTTTATATGCAAATGTATAAATGGCTTCACTTCAAGGCTTTACATCTGCGAAATAAACATTTGATACCGACATGACAGTGGAAATGCTAAGCGGATAAGCCTCCAGTGCGCATGCTCGCCTTTGTTTTCATGGTAATCAGCCTCCATCCTAACATCAGATGCCTTTTAAGGGTCCGTTTGTTTTCCACGCGTGTCTGCTGACAACTGCAGTTCAAAGGACATGAAATGCGGACTTAATTTGGTGGGGGTCAGACTAAAAGCTTTAAGGATTTAAAGTTCGAAAAATCTGCATATAAACGTTCCCATAATTGTGAAAGTTTACTATTGAATTAGCACAGTAGACTATGATAAAAAAAAAAAAAAAATCTTGAAAGCGAAACTTTATTTGATATTTTTAAAATAAAAAGTTGAAGAAATACCAAAGATCGCTGAAGCACTTCGGCAGTCTTTTTTCAGTATTGTTCCTAGTTTTATATTTCTTGGAAGTTTCTCCCGGAACCTTTTCCAGCTTTTTCTCGTGGGAAAGCGAAACACCAGCTTCCATTTGCGCTTTGATTACGTGTTGGAACTGCCGCATCGCTAACAGTCCTTGTGATGCACACTTTACGCACTCTGGTGCGAAGTCAGGTTCCGCTAAATGCGCATCTTCAATTAGGCCTGTGGGAAAGTCTCTGTTCGGTCCTTCCCAACGAAATGTCTCTCATTTGGTTACATTTTCACACCTCTGGTTTTAAAGAAGAAGAACTGAACTCGTGTAAAGTCCTGCAGTGCTGACATTTGTTTCAGTGGAATCTGGGAACCAGACAGTCACACCTCAAATTATTTTAAAAATGATTTAATAAATATCATTTGCGCACGAATGCGATTTAGCATCTCTGTTATTTTATGGTATAGTTTTTATTTACCCATTATTTTATTTTCTGTTTTCATTTAGCGTTTTAAAAATGTAAAGGCAATTTTCTGCATATTCATCTTTAGACGTTTTTTTTGTTTTTAGAGAACATTACCTGAGGTCATGCCCTCTAATAATGTTCCTCTAAATTGTAATTAAAAATAATAAATAAATATGTTTTGGTAGAATGTCAAGATGCAAAGGAAAACATTAAAGTTAATAAAGAGTCAGAACAGCTGCCTTCTGTTGGGGTTTTTTAAATTAACTCAAGCTCTGTAAAGAACCAGACACAAGACCAATGAGGTTTTTTATTCCTTCCTTTGCAAAGGGAGAGATCCACAACCTCTAACTCGCCCAGGATCAAAGGTTGGTGAGCTCTGCTCAACTCTGCTTGGGAACTGACTTTTATTATGATAACCTTCTTCAGTGGAACTGTGCTGAGATAACAGAACAGATGGACCCCTAGAGTGGGAAATTATATCATAGATAAAGAAAGAACCTTAACCCTTGTGCATGCGAGGACTGAGGCAAACATACAGTTCTACATGTGCGGGGTTGGACCCCATTTCTAAACACAAGGGTTAGAGAACAATTGATCAGAGCCAGCTAGGCAACCGAACACACCGAGATAAAACACTCAAATAAAAATGATAAAACAATGATTAGTTTTAACCCTTCACAATTGTTGTTGGTAACTACATGTTCTCGGTGCGTAAACGGCAAACGGCACAAACTCTTTGCAACACGCAGACAAACGTCGCACAGGCTGGACGTGTGACAGTGGGAGCGTGTCCTGCAGCTCTGTTCTCATCGTGGGAATGTGGATCGGGAAGCTTCATCCTCACTTTATTACCTGCTAAATCTGATGCATCTCTGACAAAGTCTGTCTGCTGTGAAGAGACTTGACCCCACGTTCCCACACCACGCACACGCGTGAACTGTATTGGAGAAAAGTTGTGGTAAAAGTTTTAATGAGTTTTAAGCTGTTGAACGAGAAGGATCGATTTTTTTACATGTTTTCTGCCAAAACAAAACAGATGTTTATTTTTGGCTTAACCTTTTAACTGCTGGTGAAAGGTTAACTTTGGCGCCTTGCGCGTAAAATGACGGATTCTCTGACGTTTGACAAAAGCCAGCTCCTTTTTAAGCTAATTTACTTAAAAAGAAAAAAAAAATAAATCATTTTGTCGGATATTTTCTTACATTTTTATGACACAGAATTCAATTTCATCTAAGTTTATCTATTAAATACTAATATGTAACATTTCTGAGCTCATTTGGAATTGACACATGCCCTACAGGTTCACTTTCCATCCCCTCCGAACCAGAAGAACCACATAAAATCACCTGAAGTTGTACTAGAAAAGACATTCTAAAACACTTCACTGCTACCTTATCTATTGGATTTTGTATGTGTTTCATAGCGTGCCATATCTAAATATATAATAGTATATATTTAGAAATATATCATATAGTGTATATTCCTGGCTGTTTCCCTATCATGTGTCAGAAGAATAAAAAATCTTCCCAGAATTTTATCTTAAAAAAGAAATTAATTAAAATAACCGAAGAAAACAAACACATTTTTTTTTTTAAATCTGCAAGTAAATAATTAAAACGGTACTAATATAAATTAAGGGAAAATACGTGAAAAACAATAACATATTGATAACAATGAACTGAGTATTATACGTTTTATTATGGTATATCTAATTATTACAAGTTTAAAGCAACAAAACTGTTAGAATCTATGCTACATAGCAAATGTTGTCATGTGAAGAGTTGAAGTGAAAAGTTTTGTTTCCATAGGAACAAAATCCTCACTCTTTGATTTTACGCATCAGATATCTGTAAATCCCCACGTGCGCAGCTTCAACAGTCAGAAAACATCCCGTCAATCCTGTGAATTGGATGAGAACAGCTGCGCACTCTTTACCTGAACATGTTTTATACTGGAGATGTTCTTCAGTTCAGTCAGATCTGGGTTCGTGTGAACAGAAGCCTCCAGTTCCACATCTATCAGATTTCCGTGAAGCTCGGAAGAGTCGTCTTCATTTACCTCGGAGCTCCCCACTGGCTTCACGGATGTTTGTCATGCATGTAAATCAGTTCCGCACGAGATTGTGACACCTTGGGGGCGCGTGCTGTTCACAGTTAGGGGCACATGGACGCCACCAGCTCCACAGTGGGGAGTGGGAGGGGGGATTTGATCGGGGTCCTCTGGAGCGCCAGGTTGTCTGCGTTCTTCCTCTGGATCTCCTCTCAGAAATCAATTCTTTGTTTAATTTAGCTTTACTCTATGACAATAATTCATTATAAACATCTATAAAATCCAAACCGTGCTGTTCAAGAGCTTAAAAACAGTTCAAAAAGTTCTCAATACAGTTATAATCTGTAAATAGTGCCTTACGTCCTCCAACTATCTGCTTCTCTCCAGATGTGAGTTTGGACTGCATGAATTCAAAGCAAGAGGAAATAGTGTGAAAACAGTCCGTTTTATTGGTTTTAAATCTAAAAACTCAAAACTCCATATAATTTTTGTTAATCTCGATGCCTGTCTGTTTGCTGGCAAGTCGGAGCTGATCGAGAGATTTCCATATGAAAATGACGTATTTCAAACGCTGTAGCAAAACCTATAAATGCTGGATGATGAAATGCACTCTTCTACCTTAACTACATTGGATCAGGTGATAAAATAAATACAATGAGATCCATTTCATTTTGTGCGTAAAATGTGCCATATCCGTGCGTAACGTTGGTTCGCCTCTTGGTTGGACATGAAATAAGAACAAATGGGATTAAATCAGCGCATAAGGTATATGATTGTTGCTTTTGGATCCACCAAAGCATGACTTTATCCGCAGCCTTTTTTCAGCAGCTCAACACATTTGCATGTCATCTGCCGCCTCGGTACGTGGGAAGCATTAGCACCTCTTTGTGCGCCAGCCTTTTGTCAACGACCTTCCAGTTTCAGCAGCTAATAAAGCTGTAAACGAAACGCTGTTTTCCCTGTTCCCACGAGAAATCCACGTCTTTGTAAAGACTGGAGGAGACCGAAATGTTCAGGCGTGAACTCAAAATCAAACAACATAGACGTTTGAAATCAAAACAGATTTTTATTGAATTTTTCAGACGTTTAGATGTTTGCGTTAGGGTTCTATATGCAAATGCAATTGCCTTTAGTCCTGGGATGGATTGAGATAGCCACCAGAGCTCCAGCAGCCCTACAAGGAAAAGCGGGGTTTAGATATATGCATAGATTAATTACATTAGTTAATAATCAGTTATTGTAGAGAGTTGTTGGAGGCCACATTCAAGCAGCATCAGCCTCCCAAAATATTAAACAAGCACCTCTATTTACAAAAAAACTGTTTAGAAAAATAACAATTTGGTTTATTAATGGAAATACTATTAAACCCATGCCAAACATACTAACATTTCTCCAAGAGCACATCAACAACTCATCCAAGATGTCAACAAGAACCCAGACTATCATTTAAAACGTTGCATGGCTTCCAAACCAGAAAATTCTCCAATCTGGTTGAATTAAAAAAAAAAAAAAAAAAAAAAAAAAAAAAAAAACTGCAAAGTACAGTCGGCCAAAACGTCTTCTCAATGATGGATTCATTTAGAAAGACATTAACAAAGTCGTTAACAGACTTTGTCTTTATATCCCTACCCCCAGATCTCAGTAGTTTCTGTAATAACTGAAGCTGCGTGCTGACTCAGGATCATTCCTGCTTAAACATAATAACTTTTATTTTGTTTCTGCTCAGACAGAGAAAGTTATGGCACATCCACGCATTGATTATTGATTTTCTTGAAAGTTCAATCTCTTCTAACATAAAGATAACCAAGTTATAGAATAATTGCCCATTGGCTTAAACAAGTCCTGTTCTTTTTACCGTTGAAAACGTTGTGATCAAAAAACAAACATACAATAAAAAACGTGTATGAGTTACTAAAATAACGTTGTTGTTTTTTACTTTAAATATACTTTTTATTAACTTTGTCAAGTATTACTTGCAAAAGGAACATATTAATTTACATAATTCAAATTTGATTTGAGAATTACTGTTGAAGTTAAATTGATTTCATTAAATGTTTATTCTGATGCTCGGTCGACCAACAGATGGCGCTGTTACACTGTTCTTTTCATCGCGGTGGCAGAATTTCTGAAACTTTCCAACTCGGCTAAATCAGAGCAATGCCTTTTAACACTTCATTCACATTTCAGTTTGTGATTTAAAGCTACAGAGTGAAAGAAAAGTTCATTCTGAGGATACAGTTTGTGTTTTGTTTTCTGCAACAGAACAGCCTAACCAGTTTAATAATGAATGAATGTTTCCCCAGCTTTATGTTTACATCCAGAAAAAAGATGTTTGAAGAACTGTGGCTGTTGCTTCTGTTTTTATAGCCTATAAATATTCATACTTATATAAATATTTATAAACACTGTTGCCTTGATATTCTGTGTACACTATATTTCAATATTTATACCAATGTACAATATCTTGTAATAAAATGGATGCTGAAATATTTAACAAAATATACCTGATATTTATGTTTTACATTTTAGCATACATATATAAAAATAATCATATTTGCTGAACAGTGTAAACAGTACTATTCTGCCTAAAAATGTTTTAAATAACCCTTTATGCTCTCCATTTAGTCTGAATCCCTTTAAATTTGTCTAGATCCAAAAATGCAACAAGTGCAACTTTAATAATAAAATATTTCTACCTTATAAACTATCATTCTTGTTCTTTTTTTAGCTTTGTGTCTGTCACACCAACTGTCTGCATTGTAATTCAAGGGTGATTAAAACTCTGATGTAATGTAGAATATTCAATATTAATTGTCTTTTTTTTTCCCTCACAGTAATGCTCCGGCGATATTTTGCTAAATTAAAGTATTTAGAAATGAAAGTGAAAGAAGAAAAGCTAATCGGAAGATTTGGGGAATATTTGTGGAGTGTGGAAGTGGAGAGCAGAGTTTCCGTCTCAACATGATTCAAACCTCCCACTCACTGAAACTTGACATCCAGTAGACAACAACATGGAGGCCAAACACAAAACTAAAGAAACATCCCAACTGCAAATAAACCGTCCCGAAGGTAGAATCTGTTTGAAAACATGGGGGAAAAAGAGATGTTTATCTTTTCTTTATATGTACATAAAAACTTTATCATCAACTTAATTTTATTTTCAAGCAAAATAATCTCAACAAAGAAGTGAAAAGGCAAAAATAAGACCTCCACTTATTGAGAACTGTACTTCATCATATACGTTGTTTTTCTCAAAGTGTGTTTTCCATGAATCATCTCAGGGAAACTCGCTCCTTTACTCACCCCAACCGTGACGCACCTGCTTATCATTGGTTTTGCTTACTTACGGTAAGCTCCTTTTAAAACAACGAGCAGGTATTTCTGTTTCAGGAAATGGGTCACAAAGAAAGAAGGTGTGGTTTGTCAGGGATAAAGAGAGACAGCTATGCAAACTCATGTTCAGACCTGACGGACCTTCTTCCCTTCAAGAGCAAAAAGGTAGGAGATGATCAATACCTGCATTTTTAGGACAAATGTTGAGAGAGCAGTGGATTCAGTTTATAGTTCAGTACAAAACTAAATGAAGAGTTTTAGATATTTCTGTTGTTGTGAAACTCCTCAATCTGGCCACTTTGTGTAAATGAACTCCATTAGAAATTATGTTTTTCACTTTCATGCTGTAAAACACAGGTTAGCATGTCAGCTGTTCCTGTGTCAGCCTGTCCAATGATAAACTTTTCATTTCTGGGTTAACAGGTTTGTCTGCTTTTTTATGCACCACTGACTGTGTGAAATTTTCCACAGAAGTCTGAAGATTTGAATGTGTTTAGATCAGGGCTGATCTTATTTACACAGCACATGAAAAGCTTGACAACAATTTTATTTTTAAGATTTTTCTTTACTTACTTTATGCTTGTGAACATTATTCTTGATGTTTTACATATTTATCCAGTTGTTTGGTTTCATGTTCACCTAATTTATTGTACTTCCTCCTGTGCAGTTCCACAGAAACCCTGAACCTGTTCATCATAAATGACACTCCCTTTTTAAGAAACTTGATCCAGTTGCTGGAAATAATCTGCTCTGTCAGCATATCTTAAAGAATGTTCATAATCAATTAATTATTAACAGTATTAATTAATCATTTATTCATTTTTATTTAGAAAATATTGTGACTGAAGGTTTGTAAATATTGTTTGGACTGGAGGAAAATGTTCTTTTAATGTGACAGCTTCTGTAAAAACACAGACACATTTTGAGTTTCTGAGGCAAAAAATTATTTCAGGCAACAGATTTGAAGTTTTTAGGATTTGCTGTCAAACAGCAGGAATGATTAAATATTAATTTCTGTGTAGGCAACAATATTTGTCCTCAGTTGGTTCTGAGCTAACCTGGTACATATCTGACAATCTCCAGAAATCCCCCCATTGTGGACAATAAAGGATATTTTTACTCTTTTCTATTGAAGCTTGTATTACAGTAAATGCAACTAGATAATAAAGTTAAATAAATAGAATAATTTAAAATTAATAAAAGGCTAAAGACCAAGTTAATTGTAATGCAGATATTTATTTGAAGGTAACATTTGGTTAGGAATATCTAATAGTAAAAATTATAACAACAACTAAGCCAACATCTGTGAAGTTGTTCCATAGGTGAGCATCTGGAGGCTTCTATGATTAAATTAGATCTAATCAATATGTTGGATTAAGATCATTAATATTATCAGAGTAACAGACTCTGTTTCTGGTCTCCATCATCCTTCATGCAGCTGAATGTTGCAGCAGCTCCAGAGTCAAATGTCCATATGAGAAATTTCCACTTGATTCTGTTTTTATAAAAATATCCTGAAAATTCCTGAAGGCGTTGCCACCGCTGGATGTAGCTTTTCCTTTTTCACAGCACGTGTTTTAATTTACACAGGAAATTACATCACAGTAGAACATACCATAGCATCAAATTATTAAATCAATTGAGACAGTGTAGCTTTCACCGCATAGTAATCAGTCCATCTCTCTAATTAGAGTATTTATTGAGGTTTTAATGGTGCTGCCCTGTTTTAACTCTCCAGTCTTGCCTGTTCCTCCAGCATGGCGTGGTCCACAGCAACGCTCGCTAAAGGCTGCTTTGGGAAAGTCTACCGGCAACAATACAAAGGCACCTGGGCTGCAGTGAAGAAAGTCCCCCAACATCTCATCGATCGGAAAGATCTGGAGAGAGAATGTGAAGTTTACAAGTAAGGACAAGATTCTGAGTTTAAAAAATACACATGCAACCTACACAAATTTAAATACAGTTACTATGTGCAGTTTAATGTTACGAACCAGACTTTTTAATGTGACTGGTGTCCTAAAGAAGTGTATCAGGAATGTTTTTCATGAGAAATATTTGTGTTTGTGGGGCTGTAACTGCTGTGACACACAGTCACAGCCATGCAGTTATAAAAACAGAAGTAATAAACAATATTTGTGACATTTTATTTAACTGAACTGAGGGCAAAAATGGCTCCTTGTCTTGCAAAGGTTGCAGACTCCTGCACCTTGCAAAACCAATCACCATTTTAGCACAAAATAACCATAAACTTTGATGTCTGTTCTTGAGATTTTATGTGGCAGACCATCACACAATAGTGCATCATTGTGCATAATTGCACAATTGAAGGAAAATAAAATATGATTTCAAGTTTACAATATTCAAGTCTTTGGCTTTTTCGTTTGCTAAACACCTTGAGCTCAGGCAGAGTGGATGGAGACTGTTTTTAGGGATGCACCTAATGCCTGCATCAACATTGTTATTGACTGATATTAGTCATTTTTTTCAGCTCTGTACAAGTCTGAGAAGTAAAACTGGGTCCATTTGTGTTCATTAAGTGTTTGTTTTTCAGGAGAGGCAGGTTTGGAACGGTTTGTTCAGTCATGTTTAACTGAAGGAGAGAAGCAATGCCGGGGTTTCACTTTGTCACAAGTGTGCAGAAATACACAGAGTTTATATATAATGTCAGCAAATATTTTTTATTGGGAATAACAGCAGTATTTATGGTGGATAACAATATCGGCCCAAGTTTTCATATCGATGCATCCCTAATCCGTTTTCAAATCTTGCCTCAGAATCTAAACATGATTTAGATTTGAACAAAACTGGACTCTGTTTGTTGGTGAATGAGCTTCTGCATTCAGGTGGTTGTGCTGCATTTTAAATAAAGGGTTAACTAAATGTGTAGGCTAAAAGTTTTAGCTTTAAACTGATAGAACAATTTGATAATTGTTTTTCCCTTCAGCTTCCCTACTGTGCAGTACTGTATAACCCAGATGATTTCCTGCCCTTTTGTCAGTGAATGTTATGATTTTATTTTATTTTTAATCTTCTGTTTCTTCTCTTCACCATTTGTTGTGCAGCAAAGCAGAACATCCCAACATAGTGAAGCTTCTGGGCAACATAACGCTCACTGATGGTAAATGGATTATTCCACTGGAGTTTATATTTGGAGAGGATTTGGAGACAACTATCTTCCAGTCAGCAAAATCCAAAATACAGGTAAGGATACTTTTAAAACAAAAGCAAATAAAAATATACCTAAGGTTATTTTATGTCATTCAGTCACACACAGCTGCATCCTGGTTGGACAAAGAAGCATTGTCTTAGATCCTTCCTCGCAGCTCAAAACGTGTTTGTAACCATGTTATATGTATTTTTTGTGGAGTTATCTGTTATTTACATTTTAAATATAATTTTCAGGTTTTTTCTTTAGTCTCTCAGTGACCAACACCTTTAAACTGCGTTCTTCAATTCTAAATTTCTTTTAGCCTCAAGAGAGATACAAATGTGATACAAAATAAAACCATCTTACAGGATTTAGCTTCTGCCTTTATTATAAATATCTATAACAGTTATATAGTTTGTGTTTATTTAATTGCTTCAGTTTTGAAAGATGAAAGTTGTGTCTGGTTATTTTATAGTTAACATATATTGCTTCACCACCGGTTTGCATGTCCTGACAAATTCACATTACATTCTTCCAACATGCAGCTAAATTTTGGCCTAAAGGTAATATTGGTTTGAACTTGATCTTCCTCCTTTTTCAGTTGACTCCATCAACTAAAGTCACCATCATTAGCGGTATGTGTGAAGGGCTGATGCACCTCCACCTAAACGACATCGTCCATCAAGATCTGAAGCCTGAAAACATCATGGTGAGTCGACACTAAGATCAGCACCAAAAGTTACACAAACATGAGCACAGAGTTGTTCAAAAGGAGGTGGAGTAAACACATTTTGTGATTACTGTAAATGGTAAGAAAGATTTGAATGCCACAATTACTGTTTTTTTTACCTACTTCAAGTTTTGTTGAAGACAATAACTGTAATGTTGCTCTTAAAAAATCCCAATTTTTAGCATCGTTCTGCAGAAGGAAGTCATTTAATAGTTTTATAAATGTGCTTTTTGAAAATCTGATATTGAATCAGAGTGAGCAGATTAAAAGAGAGCGAAGAAGCCACTGGACTGTTATCCAAAGAGGATATGCAAAAATAAAAACCAACACAACTACCTTATTAGCCAGGCAGCAAAATCAATCTCCAGGTGGCAGAAAGTTGTAAAGCAAATATGATCTTTGGAATGAACACAAAATACCGTTGACGGAATGAGAGAAGTAGCTGAGGAGACTTACAAAACAGGCACCCTTAAGAAAAATGTAAAAGCTTTCTTTAATGCGTTCAGGTCACCATCTGTAGCTAAATTTATTAAAAATCTGGCAGAATTCAGTTGTAATTTCTGCAGCAGTTCTGACCAGCACTATTACTGTGATACGTTTTATCAAATATTATCTTCTACTATAAAGAAAAAACCCCCCACCAAACTTTAATCTAACAAACACAGAAAACCATAAATAAAAAATCCCATAGCAAGAAATTTTTCATGATAAATGATAAATGATGTGATAAATGGCCACCCCTGTTTACAACCTTAATATCCAAATGCACATTTAGAGCTTCAAAATAAACTTTAACACTATTTCAGGTAATTACTTATGACAGGGTAGTTTATTTTTAAGACTATGATCATTTTTGAATGCATATGTAGCTTTTTCACCAGTGGCTATTGCAATAAAAAGTTATAAACTGTATTTTTCATCTCATGAATGCATTTTTAATTGAATTGATTTAATTTATGACTTCCTTAACTGTTTCCTGTCAGGTGGAACATGCGACAAACAGAGCAGTCATCATCGACCTGGGACTGGCAAAGTTTTTCAGACATGGCCTAAACTCGGCCATAGACATGGGGAACGAGGCGTACTCAGCTCCGGAGGTTCTCCGGTGGCGAAGCCAGCGAAATCAGCGTTCAGATGTCTGGGCCATGGGGAAGATCATCGCTGAGCTCTACGCCCGGGTCCGGCTCCACACGCCCTCCGTCTGTCCTGCTAAAGTCAAGGAGGTCATGCAAGGTCAGCCCTACTGCGACATTGTGTGCAAGATGGTGGAGCCGGACCCCGGAAACAGGGCCACCATGGTTAGCATCATAGACGAAATTCGAGTAACTGGAAGAACAGTTATAGAAAGCAGTACACCACCTAAAAATGTCCAAAACCTCCTAAAGCCACCATCACGTGAACACGCCGCCAGACCCAGACCCAGATCTGCATCACCAATGAAACCGAGGGGAAACCTGATCAACAGGAATCAGCTACCAGAAAAAAGAGACAATAAAGGCCCAGATCTACTGAAATGGGAGCGGACACCCAGACCAGAAATCAAACCTCTGCGTGGCCACATTGGACTGCCCAAGCATCCCGCCACAAAGCCGGCAGAGAACAGAAACAGACAAGAGGCTGCAGGTGGGACGGACATCACGGCCCAACTCATGAAGCTGAAGTTAAACCACGAAGCCGCGAAGGACCTTCCCAGTAGCTTACCGCAAACTGGAAAGGTGAAGGTCCAACGCGTTGAAAGGAAAAACGGGAAACTTGAAACGTGGGAGCAGACTGTGGTGACTCAGGACGGAAAGATTATCAAATATGATGATGTTATGATAAGCAGCACATAAGACATTCAGGGTTGAAGCTGTTATTATTGAGATAATCATAACAGTAGATTCAAAGGTCAGCCCTTCCAATTATTTGGAACAGTAATTAATCCAAAACTGTACAAAATCTACACATTTGTATTTAAGATAAAACAACATTATTTGTCTGTAAATATGTTCAAACAAGAACATTTTAAAAGGGTGTTTTGACTTCACCTGGTTAAAATATAGTAAAAAACTAAAACTAAAACATTTGAAAAATCTTCCTTTAAGCATCGTTTGCTACATAGTTATTAATTGGTTAATCAAAAGAAAGTCTCTACATCAGTTTGCACTGTTTTGATCTTAAGTTGAGCAGAAAAACCTGAGATTTTCACATCAATGTTAGAAATATTTTTTAGCTGTGTTTGCCTCCTTTGCTACAAATGATTGAATATTCACTAGAGATGGTATGTTATTGTATTTTAGGCAATAAATTATGTTCTTATTTAAAAAGAAATTGGATTGTTTATTTGTGTTTTATAATGTATTTCCAATATTATTTTAAAAAATGAGTGGATAAATAGAAAATCTGCAGAATGTGTCAATATTTTTTAGCAGATTAATCGTCAGAATTATCAATAGAATAATTGATTATTAAAATAATCATTGCAGATCTAAATATCTTTCAGACAATCTGTAACTTTAAGGACAATTTATTTAAAAAAAAGAACTTGTAAGAAAACATGCAAGTGAAGCTTTTCCGTTAAATGTTTCTCAGAAACAAGAATGTAACATGTGAGGGAAAAATGTTTACAATATCTGCAGCCTTTTTATGACACCATGATGGTTTATTGAAACAACCAGTAAAAGACTTGGACATAAAACGAGTGAATTACTGAAGAGGAGAAAACACATCTGCATAGTTCTGCCATTCAGTCTGGGTAAGCCTCCACAGTGATAACAAAAACAACTAAAATATGTCCTGTCCTCTTTTGTCCCTCATTGTGTCAGTAAGAAGCTGTAATTTTTATTTTTATTTTCTGTGGTTGTGTTTTTTCATTTTACCTGTGGTATTGCTCATCTACCTGTGTGATCTTTATCATTTTTGTGTTTTTTATTTATTGCCTCTTATCTAAAACTTGTTCTGCATGCGAGTTTTTTTTTTCATTTATATTGCGTGTCAGCATTTTTTATTCAGTTCATCTGTAGATGATTCACCTTTCCTGAATAAATCCGGTTTCACTTTGGCTTACACTTAACTTGTGACGCTGTGAAACCTGCCAAACTTGACTTGTGTGTGTGGACAGAGATCCTGCTTCTGGTTTTGGAATAAAGTTAACTCGTTCTTGGCATATAGAGATTTACTACCCAAAAATAACTTTACGGCTTGATAATAGATGTTATGGCGGATTGCTTTTAAAATAGGCCAATATTTTCACCAGGTAATCTCTGTGATGTTTTTGTAATTTGGTTATAGTCTGCCCTCTACTGGATCATATGGCAAACTGCAATTTCTCCTAGTCAGAAAACAATTTTCAGTGCCTTGCAAAATTATTCACACTTTTTCCACATTTTGTTTCTTTACAAACACAAACTTTAGTGATAGGCTGTCACACGGAATGCATGGTTTGACTTTTCCACAAGCCATGTATTATGTGACAAAATGAAAATTAATCCTCACAGATTTTTAAAGATGCTCTCAGTCCGGTCTGACTGAGACTGAGCTACTTTGCCTAAAAAACAATGGACAGAAGTTTCAGTCTTTGGAGGTGCGCCTCTACAGTCACACTTTTAAAGACTTTCACTGCAGCTGTAACTGCAGTGAAAGGAGGTTTGACAAAGTGTTGACTCAGAGGATTAAATATAAATAGATGCCACACCTTAATCAGTTTTTTTCCCCTTTAATTTCACAATTTAGCCACTTAGTCACATGGAATCTAAATGAAATGCATTAAAGTTTTAGACGGTAATGCCGCCAAATGAGGAAAAACCTAAAAGTCTAAATACTTTCTTTTAGACTTCCATTTCTTCTTTGTTATTAATTGTTAAAGCTGCCAGGATATCATTATCATCTCTCATTTTGTCATAGTCAGGGTAGGCAGGGTAAACCCGGCATGCCACTGTCTTGCTCCTCATTTCTTTTTTTTATTTTTACTTTTTCTGCTGCATGTTCAGTTGCGGACTAAGAAAAGCTTTGAATTTTCTTCTTTTAAAGCAGAAGCGCGACCGGCCGTCATGTTGCATCATCTTCAAACACAGCGTTCAATAAGGTCGCGCCGGTCGTTCACTCAGCTGTGTAACCAGGGCCTGATCGGCTGCGCGATAGGCCTGATGGGTAACAAGGGAGTGAATCATGGAGCTTCCTGGGACACAAACACACATCTTTATGCTCTGATTCACGCATTTTCTTTTTTCTCCCAGCACACACACAAACTTTTCACATATTCCCTTTATTACTTTCCTTTATACATTCATGCAATCAGTGGAGACCTACATTGTTAAATATATATATGTGTGCAAAAATATATATAAACAGAATGATATATGACATGAGGTTCATGTTTTCAGGGTTTAATAGCTCTCTCTGGAAAAAATCTAGCATAAAAATTTTAAATGTTTTTCTTTTGGAGCTGCGTTTGTAATCATTTAAAAGCCAAAGCTCTTCTGATATACACCACAGTTTAAAGCGAAGACACTCCTGTGCTGGTGGAGGCCACTGAGGTTTCTTAATGTCTTAATGCATGAAAGACATCGAGAAACAACATTGAAATTTATGCAGGAATTTGAAATGATTGAACTGAGAGAATGATTTAAACTGATAAACAACTTGCACATCTAATTGATTGTAAGTTTCTGAGTATTAAAAACATAAAAAAAGTATTTTATTAGTTAGTAATCCAATATGAAACAAGAGATCACATTTTAGCCTCTTTTTGTTGGCTTCTGGTTAAATCCAGAACAGCATTTACATTTTTTATGTCACTTATAAATTCCCATAGGGGATAAACTTGGTCCAATGTTTCTGTGTCTCTTTTCTGAACGATGTCTTCCGGAGATCTGCTGCTGCTGAAATATGAGTTCTCTCTTTGGTTTTTACTCCATAGTTAGCGCTACTGGCTAACAGATTGTCTGTTAAACTCCTGTGTCAGTGCTCCATCTTCTCACTTCCAGGTTGTCTTGTTTTAAAGGACAGCTGTTTCTTTCTACTATCACCACATTTTTGTTTGATTTGATGCAACCAGCTGAGTTTACTCGGACAGATTCCTTCTTTCTTTTAAATAAGGATCAAATGACATCATGTGTAAATTCATCTGAAGATTTGAGATATATTGAAATTAACTGGATTGAGCTGAACAAAATTTAGTAGAAATAAAATTCCATATATATGGTTTTAAATTAGACATGTTAGACCTTAAAGAGACATAAATTTAATGAATTTATTATATTATTACAATAATAGTCTAGAAAATAGCATGCACTGACACTGAAAATGACTGCAGACTGGGAAAAAATTTATTGCTAGCAGTAAGTCACACACACACACACACACACACACACACACACACACACACACACACACACTGTGGACCAAATTCACAGCTGATTGGACACATCTCCCTCTGGATCGGGTGTCTGCTAGAAAGTGTCAAATCGAAGTTCATCTCCACGCGTTCACATCCGCTCACACTCAGTCGTTCAGGCGTGTACTTCAGATGCCTGATGTGACAAATGTGGGCAAGTGAGGAATGCGAGTTGCGTTCGCCGTCTTTGTCACATCGCTGTGTGTCTGTTCAAACTGCTCGCCAGCCGTCTGTCTTCTCTTATTGTGCAGATTTGACGTTTCTGCACTCGGATCCTCCTCAGTCTGCTCCTAAACATCTAGCTTTAGGTGGAGCTTCTGTAGATAATCTGCTTTAGTGTTGGGATGAGCAGAGTGTTCATATTTAGCTGCTTTTTATTTCTTGGTGCACATGTTTTATTGCATCATTTTAGTGTAATTCAATGGAAATTTTGCCAGAATAGATGGAGATGGTTTCTTTTGAAACCAAAAGATATTAGAACCAAAATGTATGAACTTTTCTTAAAATATTGTTGAACAAATTTTCAAAAATTTGTCATTTTAAGAAAAAGCCACAAAAATATCCAAGATATGGAAGCTATTTATCATGGTTCCAAAATCTGGACCTTTGGAGTTATTTTTCTTTTTGTTTGTTTCTTTTTGGTGGGTTTACGTTCTGTTCATTCCGTTGAGTTATTTTCTTCATTTCTGTGTTTTGTTCAGTTTCCTAGATTATTGCCAAATGCTTTTCTTTTAGTTTTCTGATTTTTTGAGTCTTGTTTTAGTTTGTTTCTGTTTTTATTCTTTCTCCTCAGTCTCTCTGCTCTTCAGCTTCACTCACATAATTTGGTTCCTTCACTACTTTCCACCATCTCACCATTTAAAATAAAAAATCTGAATAGATTCAAGGACTCTTCCTTAGCTTTCTGCAAGTTTATTTTTTGTAAAAACCTATCGGTAAAATCTTCATTTTCCATTAAAACTTTAAGAATCCTGATTTGAGCAGCTGTCTGTGTTTTAGATTTGCCACATCCATTCACCCCTTGACAGTTGTTCTCTTTTTAGTTTGGATGCATTTTGATTGGATGCATTAATTGATTAATTGGGTACCAGTTTGGCAGCTGAGCAGAAATCAATGTGGTAAATTGAGACAAGACAGTGGTGCCCATAGTTGGCAATTTAAACTGAAAGTAGTTTCAATTACTTACTATTTTTTAAATCACATTTTGAATAAAATTCAACAAACAAAATAAGCTTTTCAGCCAGAATAACTAGAATATTTATATGATTGAAATAGTCTAGAAACCATAAAACTCTATGCAGACCAGTAAAATCATTTTCTCAGTTTAGAGATAGATAAGATTGGGCTGGATCTGCAAGCTGTTTTATCTGTTAGAACTAAAAGAGTTTTTCTGTGTTTTCAGTTGCAAAATGTCTGTCAGCACTAAACATTTATGAATGAAATCAAAGTAGAACCTCATTCTAGAAGTTTGTTTTATTTTTTAATAAAACTCCAGAATCTCTTCCTTATTCTCTGTCTATGCCATGATTAATACTGGTAAAAATGAATTTCACAGCAATGAGCTTTTTAAATAAATTTTACAAATATTTTTGCTAAAGCAGATATTTTTATTTTTAGGTTAAATTAAGACAGCAGATTTCATTTCCACTGACCCAGAGGATGATTCAGGTCCTCACTATTTTACCAAAAGCTGTTTGTGTTACATAACTTAGGGAAAAAAAAGAAAAAGGGATCCAATTCATCCAGAGGGACATTTTAAAGTTTCATTGAAACATGAGTCATCATGGCAGCAGCAAAAAGGAGAGTGTGGACAAAAAGAGATAACAAATAGGATTTTAGCAAAATTTTCCTTTGCCATTTCTTACCCATGTTCAAAAATTTTTGAAATCTGACATATGGACGTTTAGGCACCAACTGCTCTTGAACTAAAAGCCATGTTCAGATGGTGGTCAAGCCAAATGAACTG